AGACTTGTATTGTTCACTACTGTAAAAATACTCAAAGTCTCTGTCAGTGTTTTTTAAACAATAATATTTACCAATATTTACCATATTTATCATAAACGCAAACACGTCAAATAAACTAATAAATTCTTTAGAGAGCCAAGTCTAATTATTTTGATAAGCATTACTTATTTTGGGTTGTGCAGTTTTATTCACAGAATTTCTACAAAGTAGGTTATACACTGTAAACTCACATACCTTTTTAGTCACATCCATAACCTACGTTTTTATTTTCTCATTTATCACATACACACACAAACACACACACACACACACATACATACATACATACATACATACATACATACATACATACATACATACATACATACATACATACATACATTTATATATATATATATATATATATATATATATATATATATATATATATATATATATATATATATATATAAATACATATACTACTGACCATAGCAGTATATTTTTTTATTGCAGCCAAGCTAAAAAAAATTAAACATTCTCCAGAAGATAAATACTTAAAACTGTCCTTGCTGTGTTAAACATTTTCACAGAAACACAAATAAATTGGAGTGAATATCCGAGTAACTGAATATCTTGCGATTGTTACAAAATGTCTCCTAGCTGTGACATCTTATTGCAATTTAAAGTTAATATTGTATTTTTTTTGTAATTGTTTTTGGGTTTTTTTAGATCTGTGATGAACACTTTTAATTATGTCTCGCTATAATGACACACACAATTGTGATTGAATTTTTCATAATTGAGGCATGACATTAATTTGTGATGTCTTTAAATCGCACAACTGTAATTTACATATTCATTTTACATCTCAATATTGCTAATTTACTTTTGACAGTTAATTGTGATATACTTTACAGTTGTGCCTTGCTATCACTGTGCTTCATCATTGTGATGTCAATTCTTTGTTGTGAAATATCTCACGATTATGAATTTCTCCTACACTTGTGATTTCACTTCTTGTAATTTAGATCTTTAGATCGCACAGTTTGGCACCCTTATAATTACAACTTGCACCTCGTAATTACGGCTTTCTAATATTCACAACTTTAAAAATAAATAAATAAATAAATAAAAAAATAAAATAAAAATCACACTTTGTGTGTGTGTTCATGTCTTAATTTTAATTTCTCAGCATTGTGACATGCCTCATAATTACAACTTCGTCAAATAATTTGCGAACGATTCTCATGGCGGCGACTAAATCTCACAACGGTTTTGTATTTTTAATTGTGTTTGCCATCCCCTATACCTACCTCACATTTACGACTTAAAATTGTGCCTCTTCAATGAAATTGCTACTTTAAATCCCGCACATTGTTTTTATTAATATTTTGATTTGTGGTAATTGTTTTCGTTTTTCATAAATGAAACTTTATTTAGCAAAATTGGAACTTATCTGACGATGTGTTTACTTTCCCACAACTTTATTTCTCACAGTTTTGACTTAACATGTATAACTTTGCATCTCATTGTGTAGCTTATTTTAACTTTATTTTTTTTTACTCTGAGTTAAAAACAAGCTTCCCTAATTTTAAATCATCGCCTGAGGCCTGAGTAACTAGAACAGATCTTCTTTGACTCCTAATATCCACCTTCGGGCTCAGATGAACAAATAAACTCTCATTCATTGCGGGAGCCATTCAAAAGTCTTTAGTATTACAGAATGTAAAGTCTTTTTAAATATAGGTGTCCGGTTAATTAGCGACTTTGAGCTGCTAATCACTTTGATCACTTGTTGCCAACTAGACCAATGACTCTTTGAGTTGTTTGTTTGGACCTCAGCCCAGCGAGAAGTCTAAAGAACAGCTGTCTAACTGAGTGTGATTGAATATCCAGGACAGACGTGTCCCTGCTAATCCGCCTTTATTGTCTGTGCTCAGATACACAGACATGCACGCTCTCACAGACGCCATTGGCAGGCCATAGTTGACGTCTGGTTTTAGCTACTGCTAATTAAATGCAGGATTATGCTAATTGAAGTTCTTGCGAAGCTTACACACAGAAGAATGTCAGTATGATTTAGCAATAGCCTGTAAGAACATGCCTTCAATATGTGTGAGATGTCAAGGCAGGGCATCGGTGGGTTGATATAAATCATCTCGTTTAGATGTACCTCCTTCCGCTTCATGCAATTAAAGCAATCCACGTTTTCTGTCTGGCCTAACATGTTACTGCACCTTTTCAAATATTGGAAAAGAAGAGCCATCTGCAGGTTAAGGTTTCCCATGATAATCTTTGGTTATGTTTACATCTGCTAAAAAAAAAAACCCAATTAGACACTGTATTGTATTCTCATCCTCAAGTGGTTCCAAACTTTTATAATACAAGTGCTGTCAAAACTAGTGCGTTAACGCATGCAATTAATTTGAAATATTAAACGCTTTAAAAATAAATAAATTCAACAAAATTAAACACAAGAAAACATATCATATCTCATGTATCTCATGGCCCTACAAAATGAAAATAACCTGAAACAGTTATTAAAATAGGTTTAATAAATAAATAAAATGACAGGTATAGGCCAAGTAACCCAATAGTTTATAATGGCGTTTTTACTAATGCCAACCGGATGATATCACAGGAAAAAACTCATAGCCTATGAGAAAAATCTTTTTTTCTTACTTTCAAAATGATGAAAAAATTATATAACCTTTGAGTTGAGTGTTATCCCAAAAACTAACCAACTTTCACGGTAATAATTGTGACTTTTGTTGTCTTTTTAGGTATTTTTCTGGCTACACTAACACCTTAAAATATACTAAATCATTTTTTAAGACTGTAACATTTAGCTTTTTTCTGATGTTGATTGCGTAATAAAGCGTGATGACTCGGTTATGCTGATTTCACTATAATTATTTGCCGGTTGTATGAATAGTCTGACCGTGGGTTAGCTTGCATGTGTGGGCATCTTTACCTAAAACTTTAAACATTTATAGGCCTATTATTTGAAATACAACGAAAAGAAAAGGAGAATAAAATATGATGTAAAGCACTCGTTTGGCGCTGAAGCATCTGCGTTAATAAACGGTATTGTTGCATAACCTTCAATAACAAAATCAGTAATAGTGAAACTGCATATTATTATTAGTATAAAAAGTATATCATTATTTAATTGCTTTAAGTCAGTAACTCAGGCAGAAATGCAAAGTAATAATAAATGTTAATGAAAAGCCTTATGTGGCGACCCAGATTAATAAAGGGACTAAGCCCAAAAGTTCTTTAATTTGTATCATTCACTTTTTTACTTGGATTTTTCTTTTAAAATTCCACTGTAGTTATTGCAGAAAAGATTATATTTTGTAAAAATAAAACTGCAGCATTTAAGAAAAATTAAAGGGCCCTTGTTCACTTTCAATTTGTCTCAAATAAATTAGAAAAAAATTGGTGACTAATTCGAGAATTTTGAGATATACATGTACGCATATTTAGAAGAAAAAAAGAAAACCAACCATAATCCACATCCTTAGTAGGAAAAACAACTATTGTAGTCAACCATTCTCTTTAAAATATCTTCTTTTGCGTTTAACATAATAAAGAAATGTGTGAACAAGTGGTTTTTAACAAGTGTCATTGCGTAATGACAGAATTTAGAGTTTTGGGTAAACTATCACTTACTTGTTTGGATGGAGCGGATGGAGGTAAAGTTGGAAAATCATATGATAATCATATTAGCAGCCAATGATTATCAAAGTTATACTTGCATGCTAATTCTGACCAAACATTCAAATTAGCGTTGTAAACAATAATATAGAGACTACATAATAAACCAGAGGCTATATAAACCAATTTAGCTCAATCTTGTTTGGCGACCACAAGTGTCAATGTTGTCAATTACGATTTTTTTATGCTTGATTCAACAAACAAAGCAATCTATACTGTCCCCAAATCGAAATGGAAAACTTTACGCTAACAATCGTCATAATACACAAAGATTAACTTGTTATACTCACCACATAAAGGTCAGCAAATTGTGTTGTGTATCAATTATGTAGCTGCTTTCGGTTCAGAAAGTGGGGCACCTGACGTTCCACTTTCCAAGCACTGTCCTGCATTTCAGCTCTATTTATAAATACCCAAATTGTTTAAGTAATCATGTTTAGTTATTTACTTTTTTCTAAACATTCTTCATTGCACAGCGCTGTCAAGTGAAAATTTTCACGTGTTACCGTCAGGTGAAAATAGCCTAATCAATGGTAGCCAATCATGTCACAGTATATCTTGAAGAACAAAATGATCAACCAATCGCATTTCAGTTAATGAAGGCGGGACCTGCAAACTAGAGCTTGTCCAGACAGTCAGACACAAAAACGATTTACTATTGTGATAACATGGTAAAATAAAACATAAACTGTAAAATTCAGTGTGCTTAAAAACACAGCTGAAATGTGTCATATCACATGTAATCATGTTTTAACTGTAGAACAATATTAATAAAACATATCATGTAACATTTTCTTCAGAAAAGCTATTGTTTGCAAAACAATTGTTAGCAAGAAAAATACACTTATAAACTTACGTTTCAATTACAAATAGAAAGGTTTCAAACATGTCTGACTAGCATTAATAATAAGAGTTTTATAAAGTTTTAGTATTAGGTCTGCAGGCAGGGAAGATACTGTCTTTTGGCTGTTTTAATGTAATGTATCACCATGAAAGCAGCCCTGTACAGCATCCATTTTTAGCCATCCCTGGAAGTGGTTGATTGTGGACAACACTGAAAACTACACTGAATGCTGTGGGTTTGTGTTAAAATCACGAGTATTCTCGCATTCTTCTACAAGTCCTCAAGAAATCAACTCTCAAAGAAATATTAAAAAAAGAAAAGTGTATGGGAATGACTTTTAATACCTGGTGCCATTGTTCAGATTAAAGAAACAACCATGAATGTAAGAACTTTTCCATTTTTTCCCCACTGTAAACATACTTGTCAAACAATGAAGAAGGAAGATGAATGATTATTTTGTAGAAAACAAAACTTTATTTAAACACCGTGTGACCCCTATTTGCCACATACATTGCACAGTAAGGAGGAGAAGTCACATCATTGGGCATCATGTCACATTGGCTACTGTAAATGCACTGGTCTAAGGTCCCAAAACCTTGAAATCAACATATTTGGTGACATAAAACCATTCTTTTCATTTTATCCTCTGAAAGTGGTCTCAACGTAATAAACAGCAAAAAAAGAAACAAAACAAAAAAACTTAATACGATTCATGTAGTGTTTTATTCTTCCAGCTCACTTGTCCAAGGTGTGTATTTGTTTGCGTGTATGTATGTGTGTGTAGGGGTGGGGAGGGAAGTATGTGGGCACATTCACTGGCCGTTTCTACACTGAGTATTCAGAGGAAATCTCAGACTATAGTTCTGCTACATCTGAATATCCCTCGAGAGTAATGAAGAAAACAAACGTACTAACAGCATCTGAAACTTTACAACAACAAAGAAAATACAAAAGAACTGAACATCTATGAGACACAGAATGACCTGGTGCAGTAGTGATTAGAGTCTGTTGGAGAGAAAGCTAGAGTTGATAAGATACTGAGATGACCTGCCATATTGTGCAAAAGAAAACGAGGCAGAATATCAGACGTGTTCTCTAAAAACGAGGCATAAATTGACAATCATAGAGCCGAATCTCTGAAAACGAGAAAGAAAGACTCATGAGGAATGGGAGAAAAGCTCGTCTTCTCGTAAAGAAGGAAGTCGTATTACTGTGTTTGATTTTGGTCCCCTGTGTACAAAATGAAGATACATATTTATTTACATATAAATGGAATACAAAAAAAAGAACTGCCAAGGCACCTTGAAATGCTTTACATAAAGGAATCCTCATCAATTTGATTTACCAAAAATAGAAATGATCAGGCCATGCTAGTTTGCTTTGTTGCTCAGTCAAGTTTTTTATGAACTCCCAGTGGAGTTCACATTTGGGGGGGGGGGCGAAAAACAAACATCGATGAAGCTCTTTAATTCCTCCATCCGTTTTTTTTTTCTTCAGGCGAGGAGCTTTTTGGCCTGCAGCTCCATTTCGGCAGCCCTCTTCAGCGCTACGTCAACCAGCAGCTGGAAACCGCTGAAGTCCTGGGTGAGGTCGGGTGGGGTGGGCGGAGGGGTGTTGAACAGGCCGCTCTGAGGGCTGACGTTACCCTCCCCTCGACACCCGAATAGGCTGGCCGCATCTGTGAGTGGCAGCTCTGTGGCTCCCTCGACGCCGAGGCGCGTTGTTGTGTTGATGCCTTGCGTGGCTGTGGTGATAGTGGTGTGGCAGATGACGGAGGGTCTGGGTAAGACAGGTCCGGGCGAGGGAGGTGTTTTAGGGGACAGGGCCTTTTTGGGGTAACCGTTGGAAGTGGGTGTGTTGCTGGTCGGGTGAGGTGAGCCAGGCTCGTAGCTGTTGCGGTCTTCTCCGTTGGCGAGCAGACCGTGTTTCGGGGACTGGGAGTTGTCACTGAGCATTTCGCCACCCTTGCTGCCCCGCCGCGAGATGGTGAACTGGTTGGGGTCCTTGCCATCTTTCCGGAGCATCTCAGGAAGGAGTCGTCGCCGCGCATTTATAAACCAGTTGCAAACCTGTGGAGAGATACAGATACAATGATTATTGATACAATCCAATTTTTACTATTATTACATTTATTGTGTACTACAATCCCCAAATAATTAGCTGTAGCTTTTAAGATTGTTTGTTTAAAACTGTAAAAGCATTGTTAATGTTTGTTTAAAACTAAAAACATTAACACTAAAATTACTGAGAACAGAACAAAAACAACATTGATTAAAAGCTAAAATCATTTATGAAATAAACTTCAATAGTACTTGATGCTAAAATAACCAGTCTTTTAACATAGAAATGCTTGTCTTGTGTTATGTTCAATTGTCGAGAAAATTACATTCCCATTCAGTCTTAAAACATTTTGCCACCTGTTAAAGTTCAAACGGTATAGTCTTATGAAACCTTTGTTTACTTTGTTTGCACACTGTCTCACTTAAGTTAAAAAAGGAAATTCATGAGGCTGAATTGAGTTAACATGTGACTCTATTTTTGTTTTTCCTCTTTGAAAAAAGCTGACCTGGCAATTAAAAGCAGGAAGCTCTTGGCGGTGAGGATTTCTCTCAATCACCTAAGTAACAGTTCACCTTTATCCCTCAGATTGTGTTCTTTGTTAGTGCTGGAGGCTTTAGGCCTTAATCATGCTAATAGCACTGTATCTTTCATTGCTCCGCCGAGTCTCACCTGAGGGGGTTTAAGGTCTACTCTAATGCAAATCCAACATTTCAGGCTACAGAAAAAATGTGTGAATGCTTGACTTCGATGTGCATCTCTACAAAAAGACAAATTACTGCTGCAAGGCAAATGGCTGACAGTTAACACCTTCAGTTTATAACAACAATTAAACTTTGCTGGCCTTTTTTTTTGTTAATGTAGATCACACACCACAGGCAACTGTACATTTACCATGAAGTTTACACTGGGGTAAATCTTAAATCTAAAATAATCAGCTAGAACCATCATAGAAAAAGTTCACAATCACATATATCATAAAGAAATAATTAAAATACAAGCACTTTATCAATTTTTATATAAATATCATAATTATTATTATTATTATTATTAATATTATTATTTTACTGTCTCATAACACCAAGTGCTAATAATCTGCATTAAGATGACATTATTGCATTTCATTTTCAACATATTTATTTAATTAAAGCGATTAATACACTTATTACACAAACAAGAAAATATGTTTTGGCTTTTAAATTTCTATCCTAAAATAACGTATTTCAATGTGTTGGCGTTCACATTTCTATCCTGACCTATCCTGAAAGAACTTATTTCAATGTGTTGGCATTCACATTTCTATCCTGAAATAACGTATTTCAATGTGTTGGCGTTCACATTTCTATCCTGACCTATCCTGATAGAACTTATTTCAAAGTAACTTTTCTTTCTCAGTATCTAAAGGGGCCATTTTCAAAATGCAGACTTCAGTATGGTAATGTTTCTGTATTGTCTTCCAGCGAGTCTCTTCAGATGAGAAGCCTCTTTGGCTCTCTGTGTAATGGGGCTGTATTGTGTACCCAACGGTCTGCCTGAGCTGAGCCTGGTAGTCTTCACTATGTTAATGTGTGTGTATTGTGTCTCCCCATTGTTAGTGAGACAGCTGGCTGAGCGCAGGGGAAATTCCTGGCCCAGTGTCTGAGCAAGTCTCTCTCTCTCTTTCTCTCTATGTGGCCACATCTCAGATGACTCAAAACAGTTATTCACTCATCTGTCCACAGGAATTCTCTCCATTGACTGCATTCACAGGAAGTGTTGTTTATATGACGCTAAAACTCAGCGGGAACAGAACGTGTGATCTTAAACCGAGAAGCACTAGCGAAAAAAAGAGCTGACTTTTTTTTCTGGCCTAGTTATGACATTGAACCTTTCGGTTTCCTTCACACGTCAGTTGAACTAGACATTGATGACAGCTAACTGCTCTCCTGTGAAGCATATAAATAGATTACTGATCAACAAAGCAGAAAACTCAAAAATTCCCCCTCGCATTCTTGACGGAAACAAGTAGTCGTGAGAAAGAAACTTCTCTGAAGCCTAACTACAGAGTTATTTTTAATTTTCTTAAGATTTTGCATCTACTAATAGCTACTTTTAACAAAAGTACAGCTTGAAAAATGTTCAGACAAGGTATTCTGTGACTTTGCCAGGCCTGTTGTTGATGTTGTTTTATTCCAGCTTTAAAAATCATCTGTAATAGTATTAGTGTCGCATCAAATTTTTAATAATTACAAATGTCTTAGAAACTAACCGAAAAAGACAATAATTGAAATAAAATGGCTAAACAATTTGGAATAATAATAAAGCAAAACGGTTTTAACCTTTCCATAACAATTTTCCACAATCATGTTATTTCAATTACAGCACATGCTGTTACATGCAGTTGTGCTGTTTTTGTTTTGGTTTCCTTGAAGTGTACTAGGCCACATAGACTTTTCGAAAATGTTTAGTACCTGTAGTGTGGATAGATGGGTCTGCTTGGACAGCAGGGCTTTTTCCTGCTCTGATGGATAGGCATTGTATCTGTGTTGGTAGAGCCAGTCCCGGAGTATTTGTACCGACTCTTTGGGCAAGTTTCCTCTCCTCTTCCTCTTCCCTGACACTCCTCCATTCGAAGAGAGGTCAAGAGGCACATCCAAACTGTCCTCATCCTCCGTCTCGCTTCCTGACATCGCCAAAACACCTGCATTCATAAGAGACCAGAGCTAAAACGTATTGTTTATTCTGCACGTGCATATGTGTGTACAGAATGAGGAAAAGTGTAAAGTCAGACTGATGTATGAGCAATGTGTTTGTAACCAGCAATAAGTGTTTCAGGGAATGAGTAAGCTGGGAATCAGTGTGTACCCATGTGTGTGAAGGAGGACAAAAGACACCCAGTGAAACATCAACCCCCAAACCCCTGCTGAGGACCCTCCTCCTCCCCCTATCCTACACACACTGGCTTTCCATCCAAAATGCCAACCGCTGAATGCTACACAACAGCGCCTGGCCGTCTGTATGCATGTATAAGCGTGCGTCTGTTAGTGTGTGTGTGGCAGCTGATGTGTCACATCCCTGCTGTCAAGCAAAGCCATGTGATTCATGGTTGGAGTGGAGGCGTCACAAAGACTCTAAACTGTGTCAATGTTTCATCGTGACTTTCTGAGCACTGTGAATACAGCTTGTGCACTTGCAAACACTAAATAAACTGCGATTATGCATGGGTAAGTTAACTCATGTAAAGTGATAGTTAACCCCCTTCAAAAAAAAAATCTCATTTGTTTTTTTGCTTTCATATCTGTGATTCTTTATCTAAGGTACACTCAAGGAAAACAATGTCAGTGTTATTCACTCCAAATTGTGAATCATGACTGAGTGGGTAACATTGTGTCTACCAGCTCCTTTAGTGGAAGAAAGTAAGTCATGTGGGTTTGGAATAACATGATGGGGTGAGTAAGCCATGACAGGGTTTTGATTTTGAGTGAAGTAACCCGATATTATACCGTTCTTCCTGTTTCTGATGACGACTTGAATATTATTACCTCTTATATCATAAACCGGTTAGTTTGTCAATAACACGTTTTACTGAAAGTGCTTAAGGGGACTTTTAGTTCATGAGCACTCTAAGTGAAACAAAACTTTCCCTAACTTGAGCTCCAGGGTGTGCGTGGGATACTTAACAGTCAAAAACCGAAACGAGTGAAATCACGTACACGTCTATTTTTTGAGGTTGTGTGAGAAAATGATTAAACTTGTGAGAAGGAGTAATGAGAAGTAATTTTGTCGTCGGCCTACATGAGGAGGAGGAAGGGGGAGGGGAACCTGTTGCAAATCTCAAGACCGAACAAAAGAATGTCGCTTGTGGGACATTTCAAACTCTGTTTTATCGACTTTTCACGAGGTGAAAACTCGTGAAATCACGTCAGGTGGCGGATAAGAGCTTGACACGACACTCTACGCGACAAGGTGCCATAACATAAGAGAAATGTAAACTTAATAGCAGAGAATAGCTCGGGCTCTATTGTGTGCTGTGAGAAACACGAGGTCGGAGGGAATGTGAAAGCGTCGCCTCGAGGAAGCGGCGCGAAATACACAAACTTCACAAAAGGAGGTCAGGAATTATCGTTGCACGTTTTAAACCGCAGCACAATGTTTAAATGCAGTCAAAGCAACGAAGTAGTCGTCAAACTAAAAACAAGGCCACTCGGAAAGTTTCCCTCGTATTCCCAACAAACTTGAGTGAGTGTTGTGAGAAACTCTGAGCGCATGAGCATTTTCCCAAGCCAAAGAAGTTCAACCATTACACGAAGACGTTTTATACTCACTTAAACAACAACTACAGAGCTCATAAGAGTTACAGATGACAGTTATATTATACATTGGTGTATTAAAAAAAACACTGTAAAACAAATCATCAATACGACGGTTAAATAATCATATCTGTATAAAATCAAAGCTTTATATGCTGAATATAAACACGCGTGTTAATAATTCGAAACGGCTCATGGTGACAGCCCGCCAGCACATGGTGAGAAAAGGCTGTTTTGTCTGCAGTGGAAAACAATAGCAGGCAATGCCAGACATTTTCTGTTCAACCATCATCGACAAGTTCCATCCATATGTCACAATCACCGATAAAAAAACATAATAAATCGCTGATATAACAGATATGGAGATGATACGTACCCTTTTTGGTCTTCATGTCCGTCAAAATTCCCCTTTTCACGTTGGCAACAAGGAGGTCGATTCTTCCTCGCTTTAATCACTCACAACTGTATTATTCCAGATTGTTACGAAGTATCGAGCGCAAATATTTCTCTTTTTTGTCGAGGAATCACCGCGGAGCGCGTTTTTCATTTGTCGGAGACGCAACACATTGTCGGGTACCTGGGACAGGCTGCGCGTCTCATTCACTGTGTTTGATGTGGAAACTGGGTGACAGCTATCTTTGACAGCTGCGTGACTCAACGCGGTTAGATCCTCCCCCTCCGAGGGCAAGAAGGAAAAATCTGACATCAGACGTACAATAAGAGTAAAAAGAGACAGAAAAGGGGCTTTTAGACAAACCGATTTGAATCTGTAACGTGTGTAGAGAAAGATCTGGCGCGCGGGATGTGTTTGTGGAGACGTGTTTGGACATTGGATTGGATCTAGTTTCTGCACGTTTCCCTTTAATGACTGCGGCAGAGAGACAGGAAGCTGGTTTATTATGAATGTAGGTTAACATTACCAAGAGGCAGACACATGGCAGGGATATATCGGGACTGCTTTCATCAGCATACTTCTGTTAGGCGCCCTACTCCAAAACATTACTATTGTTTGTGTGTTGTTGTTGTTGTTTGTGTAATATGTTAGAATGGTATTCGTCTTAAGGCAAATACTTTGTTTTTTGATACTGCAGGATGTGTCGATGTGTTATCAGGTGCAATGCGGCATTTATTTCAGGTGACAGATGTGTGTGATGCGGTTGCAATTGTGAGAGAATCGTAAACAATATAATGAAAACAACTCCATGAATGATTTATAATGTACGTTTAAAGAAGTTCTCTTCGCATTTAAAGACTTGCAACTTATAAAACGAGTTTTGATTTTAACATAATAGACACGTTAAAAGAGTTAAACACACATTTTGCAAAATATGTTTACACAGACTTTTTAATTCACTTTCTCAGACTTTTTAGAGTGCAAACCCAACACTTTATCTGTGACTACAAATTAAACAAAACACATTTAATTGTACATTTATATGTTATGCCAGCTCATGAATATTACAAAATATGCTATGTTTAATCTCAGTATTAATCCCTAATTATTTAATGTTGCGAGTATTGTGTACAAAATAACACTGTTATTTAAATTTGACGTTACATATACGCAGTAACTTGCTGCTCACTAAATGTGATTTGTTGAACAAAGTGATATGCCAGATAAGAACGACTATTGGTCGCGTTTAGTGTGATTTACTATAAAGAACCGACTCATACGAGTCATTGCACCGTTTGGGTAGCGCCCTCGCTGCTTCCAATTCATTAGAATTAACCGACTCAAAGGAGTCATTTGCTCGGGAATCGGACTACTGGTCCCTTCATGTTTACATCGCTTCAGATTTAGTAGCTACTGAAGTTGGCGGTTGATAACCTTTAGTAAAGTGTTTCGAATACACGTTCTAACTTAAATCGAAGATTTTAAAAAATGCTTCCAAATAAGAATTGCTTCTAGGCTCTCAGCTCAATTTGTAAGCCGTACGTGATGCCTCCTGTTGGCGCAGCGCTGCGTGATACCCAGTTGACCGTTGGGATTAGATGGTTGTAAAGCAAGAATCGCTTGTTTCTTCAGCTGTCCCGGTGACGCGTCCCTAATTCAAATTACAGCAGCCTCAGAATTCTTAACGCTGATTATCTCTCTTGCGTATGCAGCCCTATGCTCTTCTGATGTCGTTTATTTTGACATGTAATTTTGCGTCAAATTGTGCTAAAAAATACGTATCTAAACATTTTTGATTCTGACAGACATCTTTAAAACCAAGCGTGATCTGCTTGTCAAAACACTGAGGCACATGGCTGTGAAGGCTTATAAAGCGGTATTTGGAGTCTAGATATAGGTCAGGTCGTTGACTTTTCCATGCGAGGCGTGCATGCGTCATGTGTCTGGCTGGCCTTAATTCTCAATTTACCGCTGCTGATAAGAACACATGTTGTTCTGACTATGCAGACGTAAACAATAGCACATAAAGCAGTCGGATATTTTAAAAACATTTGCAGTGCATCGTTCTTTTTAAATGAAACAATTGTCAACTCGATGAGGTCATGTCTTTATGCCGATTGGATCCAGTATGGTTGTGAGAAGACGTGATGATTCAGGATTTCTCATAAGCATTAGACAGCTCGCTTCGGATTGTGTAACCGCTATCGCAGTCATAAAGGCGTGTTGCTGTTATTCAATAAACAGAGACCAATAGCTCCCCCTGGTGTTACACTGCGCTACTGCAATCTTGTTATTCAAAAGCGTTCTAGAAGCACTTGGGATCCACCTACTGGTATAAAATATTCATTACATCATATTTCAGAAAACAATCTATACTCTAAAAAAACACTGGGTAAAAACTACCCAAATTGGGTTGTTTTTAACCCTACTGCTGGGTAAATATGGGACAGAACACATCCGGGGTTAAATTAACCCAAGTAATTAAGTTATTATTTTTAACCCCATAAATGGTTTGTTTTTCTTCCCAATAATTGGTTATTTTTTACTTAAATAATAGCTTAATTTGATCCAAAAATGACTCTGCATCACTAAAGTGCGGTGGGGGATGTGCAGCTTTGATTGCAGATGTACAAAAGGTGCTAGTAAGAATTTTTTTTTTTAATTCAGAAAGGTCTGACTAAGGGCTGCTATGAGCATCAATCTCATTTTAATCATCTGAAACCGCAAGGAATCTGCGTTTATGTTACACTATTTTCATTGCATTTAAATAAATAAGTACATATTATGTGGTATCCCAGTCAGCCCCTGCTGTGAGTTGATTTGACCCAAAGAGCTGGGTTGAAACTACCCAAGACTATGAAAACACCCCCCCCCCCCCCCCCCCCCCCCCCAAAAAAAAAAAATTACCCAAATGCCTCAACCCAAGATTTGGGTAGAAAAAATAACCCCATATTTTTTTAGAGTGCAAATACAGTTAAATACATGTATTCTTGTGAATTGGCAATGGTAAAAGCCCCAAATGTTTTCGGAAATAAATAAGCCACACTGCTTGCTAACTGTAACCACTGCTATTGTGTTCATCTAGACGTAATTTATTAAATTAAAAAAGTATTATACAGTGGTCTCTTTAAGAAAGTGCAGTGGGACATGATACATTTTCCCTTTTGGTTACATACGTGCAAAGAGTCAGTTTATGGAGACATGTCAGTAGTGCAACTGAGAACAGGGCTTGTGTGTGTATGACACTTGTGGAAGCTATTTAAAACTCTTGTCATTTTCACTGACCTTCAAGTTAACCATGATGTGTTAAGAAACTTCACTTCCTCTGTAATCATCTAAAGATAGATATAGACTCTTATTCAAAATTTGACAATGACCACTCGAGTGTTAGTAACACAATTTACCAGTATATTATATTTTAGTAATGTATTGTGACTAATTGTGTATCATTACTTTTAATGAATTTTAATTTAACTGCTGGGTGTATAGGCGAAAGTTTATAATTAAACCATTAAAATAGTAAAAAGTATAACTTCAAAACAACATTAACAGTGTTTTTTTTTTTTTTTTTTTTTTTGACTGTGAACAATGTTGTACTTTGGTAGTCATTGGCTGCTTATATGATTATGCTATTTAGAAATATATATGAAATTATATTTAATGAAATTATATTGTTTTAGGGGAAAGTCCCAATGTGCGAATGTAAAATCAACTTTACCTCTATAAAAAAAGGCTGTAGAGACTCCTTGCAGAATATGATGTCATATGATGTCATGAGTCGAATGCTAACACTGGGGTTAGTTGCAGCAAAACTAACAATTCTGAAACTGTTAAATGGGAGTTTAACACCATATATGGGAAAAGGATAAATACAGCAACCAGCGAATTATTTAGATTTCTTTTAATAATAATAAATCAACTTTGTTTGGATTGAAGCTGCGGTTTGACGTCGCGTCGACCCACCTGACACAAATTTCCCCGAAAAGTCTTTAATATGCTTAAGGCGATTTCTAGCCAACTCGTCTTGATGAAGTAGAACCAATGTAGTTTAGTGTGAGGCGGGACTTCCTCGCAGTTGAGAGGCAGTGTGGTCCGCAGAGCTGTATGGGAACCCGCGGCCTCTTGGCAAACTGCACGCATTCCAATCTGGCGACGCCGCCCTGAGGCGCGCGCTGGCGTAAACACAGACAGAAGCGAGAGAAACGCCGAGAGTCCCGGTGACACATCACATCTTTCGGATTCCCGCAGACTGCGGGTCGTCTACACGGCCCCAGCCCTGTGTCAGAGATACAGGGGTCCGGTTACTAGACCTCGCGCTAAAATTAGGGTGGCTTTGAGTCTGACGCAAGACAACTTTGTAGCAGCGGGGAACAAGGATCCATGGAAACGCGCCCTACACATTCACTGCTATTGATGACAGAGTGTATTTTTGGACTGTGTTGTCATCATTCGGTAACAACGAGGCCAAAGGCGTATTGTATAAAGGGAGGACGTTGAAAATGCACTTGTACAGCAGCGCGTTAACACACTACCCCGGCTCCTCTCGAAAAGTTTCCGTAACTCTCACCACCGTCACCAATAACGCAACAGCGACCAGTTCAAGTTGTTTAGAGGCAGTCGGAAACGCCGTTAACGGAAGCGATACAGAAGAGCACACGGAATATTCGTCTGGAGGAGAACAGACTGACGCGAACATGCCTGCCTTTTCTTGTTACGAGGCTACTTCGATGAGGCCGGTTTTTTACACGTCTACCGCGGAGATTATCATCACGCGACCGGATGGCGTGGAGAGGTCTGTACCCGTTCACATTGTGAAGGAGCCGCACACAAACCGCAGAGCTCTGGAGACGCACTTCAACCGGGTTTCCTACGCACTTAACGGAGATGAACATCGCCAATCTGATTCCCCATTGGATTTAGTCCCCAGAAGAGATGTTTTTGTGGAGCACGATGAGAGAAATTCAATTCAGTACGATAGGTTTTTTGATAATGACAGTTACAGAGTTTGTGAGAGGAGACGCGAGCCATGTTTACAAAGTAATGCCACGCCCTCCAAAACTATTGAAACTGTCCAGAAAACCTCATCAGATTCATATGAAGATCTTAGAGACCCCAGAAGGCAGGAGAGCATTGAAGACAACAACCCAGTGTTTGAGCTGCGCATCCTTCAGGAACCCAACAAAAGTGAGGTCGACAACAAGGTTACGCGTTATCTGGCTG